ATAAATATTTCAGTATGTATCTCTAAAAGATAAGCAACCCTTACAAAACATACCCACAATTGTCACCTCAAAAAATTATTAATAATTCCTATATATAAAATATCTAATCAGTATTCATATTTTCCTGTTTGACTTTTTCTTTGAGTTTGTACAAAATAGAAACCCAAGAAGCCCAATTACTTCAATTTATATGTATCCTCAATCTCCTTCCTTCTTTTCCTTCCTTCCTTGCTTCCTTCCTTCCATCCTTCCTTCCTTCCCTCTTTCTTTTTTTTTTGTTTTGAGATAGAGTCTAGCTCTCTTGCCCAGGCCGAAGTGCAGTGGCAAAATCATAGGTCACCGTAACCTCCAACTTCTGGACTCAAGTGATTCTCCTGCTTCAGCCTCAGAAATAGCTGCGACTACAGCCTCATGTCAACATGCCCAGCTAATGTTTTGTAGAGACAGGACTCTCTGTGTTGAATAGGCTGGTCTGAAATTCCTAGCGTCAAGCTAGCCTCCCACCCTGCCTCCCAAAGTGCTTGGATTACAGGTGTGAGCCACCACACCCAGCCTCAATCTTTTTTAATATATAGGTTCTGTCTCCATGTCTCTTTTCCCCTAATAATTCATTTATTAAAGAAACCAGGTCACTTGTCTGGTAAATTTCTCCTCAGTCTATATTTTACTAATGGTATTCTCTTGATTTTTTAAAAAATAAACTGTTTTCAGAAGTTTTACACGTACAGAAAATTTGTGACAATAGTACAGAGAGTTCCCAAATACTCGTCCTAGTTTAACCTATAATGAACATCCTATATTATTATAGAACATTTCTTACAATAATGGATCAATATTGACACATTATCATTAAGCAAAGCCTGTACTTTATTCAGGTTTCCCTAGTTTTTCTCTAATGTCCTGTTTCTGCTCCAGGAGACCACATTCCATTCAGTCATGTCACGGCTGCTTAGGCTCATCTTCGTTGTGACAGTTCCTCAGAACTTCATTGTATTTTATGACTGCTGTTGACTGAATACTTTTGTTCCCTCAAATTCACATGTTGAAACCCTAACCCTCAATGTATTGGTATTTGGAGGTGGGCCTTAGGGAGATGATTAGGTCATAAGGGCAGAGCCCTTGTGAATGAGATTAATGACCTTATGGAAGAGACCCCAGGGAGCTCTCCTCACCCCTTCTCACCTGTGAGGTTTCAGCAACAAGGTCTTTCATGAATATGAAGTGGTCCCTAACCAGACACCAAATCTGCCAGCACCTTGATCTTGGACTTCCCAGACTCCAGAACTGTGAGAAATAAATTTTTGCTGTTTATAAGCCACCCAGTCTATGGTATTTTGTTCCAGCAGCCCTAATGGACTGAGACAATGACTAACAATTTTGAGGCTAACTGGTCAAGTATTTCATAGAATGTTCCTCCACTGGGATTTGTTTGATGCTTTTCTCAGGATTAGACAGGGGTTATATCGTTTTGGGAGGGAAACCACAGACCATTTTCATTACATCGTATTAAGGGTCCATTCTTAATATGACTTATCAGTGTTGATGTTGACCTCGATCACCTGAACAAGGTAGTGTCTGTCAAATTTCTCCATAAAATTACTCCTTTCCTCCCCCATTTCCATACTGTACTCTTTGGATTGAAGTCACTATTCACGACCCACACTTAAGGAATAGGGAGTTATGGTCCACCTCCTTGAGGCAGAGTAGCTACATAAATTATTTCCAATTTTTCTGCATGGAACTTTTTTCTCTCCTTCCACATTTATTTTCTAATTAAGTATTTATTAATGCTTAATTTATTAATACTTAAGTCAGAAGGGAACTGTAGATAGTTATTTTATACTTGGGGTTATAATCCAACACTACTGTGTTTGATTACTCAAATTTTTCAGCTTTGGCCATGAGGAGCTTTTTCAGTTGGCTCCTGTGCCCTTGTTCCTTTGACATACTCCTATCAATACAGGTTTTTTTCCTTTTTATTTGCTGAAATTCCTTAATTTCTAGCATCACAAAATGCTTCAGGCTTACTGTGTATTCATCATGTATATTCCTGCCGTAATGCTGGAATGAGCCATTTCTCCAAGGAGCTTTGATTTCTTTTATGAAAAATAATGCTAGAAATCAAGATCTGGACAATAGATGTGTTTGTTGTTCCTGAGGTATAATTGTATCTAGGCCCACTCAGGTGACAGAAAAGCAAATATAAATGTGTATGCTAATCCTTGTATATACACATGTATATCCATATCTCTATCTATACAAGCCAAATATGAATTCATACTGATGTTTCAAATTCTAATCCACTACTACATGGATCATTCTGATCTCTTCCTGCTATTTTAAAAAGTTATTCCTTTGTATTTCTTACAAATTGTTATATGTATCAGTAAATAACAAGATGAATTTTGTTGATCTTGTTATTTACCAACGAGATCAAGAATACAGCTCAACTTTTTGGTAAGAAAAATTCATAAGAGGTAGTGTATTTTTTATCATGATGTATACAACAACTGTCTTTTCATGATGTCAGCAGCCATTGATGATCATTCTCTGGGATCCAACAATTCTTTAAAGTTTAACAAATGGTAGAATTTTGATTGGCTCTTTCTTCATTGATTAGCTGCAATATTTCTATAAGAGAAATTTTCTCTAATCAACTATTTTGTAACCCTGAGGAAGAACCCATACAAAAAAGACAGGATAAATGCTTAATTCTTTTCCTGATTAATTTTAAAATAATGAATTTTTTCCTTAGCATCCTCCAAGGGTGACCACTGAGTTATTTTGTTTCCGAGTACCACTGTGAACCTGAAGCAGCTCTAGAGGCACAAGGTTAAGCCTTCTACCTCCAGTCTTGACTCCTGGGCAATCTGCCTCAGGAGAATGGAATGGGGGATGGTTGGTGGGGGTGGGGCGGTGGGACAGAGGCCAAGAGCAATTTGAAAAAGATAGCAAGGTTGGAGGCCGGTGCTGGAGGGCTTTCATATTCATTCATCCAGAAAAAGCACTGGTCTCAAAAGTATTAGTAATTAATTCCTGTATACCAGTTGCCTTGGTTTTGTAGTTTTTTTCATGTTGCCTTAGAAAGCTGAGTCCATCTTTAAAAGTCTCCTCAAGCAACCAGGACAGAGAGAAAGACCAGCTTGAAGCTCTGAAAAGTGCGTGTTTGATTCTTTAAATCCTTAAAGATAGCCCTTGTAGGAGAGAAACCAAGTAACGATTGGAATGCCAGGGTAAGGGGGAAGGGGAAGGCATTAATTCTCCACTTTGGTTGTTTAATAGTCACCGGAAACACATTTTAAAAACTACGAATGTCCCCACACCACCCCCAGACCTTCTGATTCTATTGGTCTAGGCTTGGACCCTGAAATAGGCAGTTTTTGTAAAGTTTTCATAAGCTTTGTGCAAGGTGACTCTAATGTTAAACTAGGGCAATTTCCAAGGTCCCTTGAACTCTAGCAGGCTAATGGCAATTGTGTCACTCCTAAGCTCATCACCTTGATCCAGGTGCCCGATGTTAGCAGAAGGCATCTCTGCCCTGCACCTCAGAAGACTAAGCTAGGAAAGATTATGCCATACAGGACTAATATGCCCTTGGGGTACTGAGCCCTCATGAGTCTGGCTCAGTTCAAACCCTTGGGTCTTTGACATAAGACACAGTGCTGTGCCCCCACCCTCGACTCCAAGAATGGCTACATGAACTTTGTGCCTGGCACTGCTCTAAGTGCCTTCCATCTCTCCACATCCCTGAAAGGTTGGTATCATCTCCATTTCACAGATGAGCAACCAGGATCTGAGAGAGTTAAGCAGCTTGTTAAGGACACAAGCCTGTGTCTGAGTGGGTTCTGGCCTCTTTCCCATGATGTGTTGTCACTTACAGGCTGTGCCTTTATGTCCAGGCCCTCAAGAAGTTGCCTGCTGCATTCTAATGTATAATACTGATTGGTGGTGGGGGACAATCTGCAGGGTGAGGCATCCCGAATCCCTGTTCCTCACCATCAGGCCCTGGATAGCCCCTGCCCTGTGCTAGGGTAAGGTAACTGTCCCCCACCCTCCTTCAAGCTCAAAGGTAAAGCGTAGAAAGCCAAGGGGGCTTCCTCTACTTCTGCCCCTCCTCGCTCCCCTTCCTGTGCCACAGCGTTCCACCCACAGCTCCCCCCACACCTACCCTTCCCGAGAAAATCTCACTGACCCTGTCACTTCTCCATGTGCCACTTCGTGTGCGTCTGACACGCACAACCAGCTGCCCAGTGCCCAGGGCCACCCCAATGCCTGACTGGAACTACCCTTGTCAATGCCCAGTCCCCTCCTTCATCCCCATCTCGGAAAGTGACACCGCTTCCACCTGGTCCAGACTATCTGAACTAACGCTAGCCCAACGCTCCCCCCACCCCCGCACTCACTCAGTCCCCCAGTCCTCTGAAATCCACCATTCAAGATCCTCCTTACACCATCGTGCCTCTCCATCCCCATGTCCCTAGGGCCATGGTCTCTGAAGCCAGCCCTGCCTCATTTCCTTCCTAGCCCCAAACCTAGGCTTCCTGTACCACCCAGTCCAGACCAAAGGTAGTTCGCTGAACGCTCTGTATTGCTCCTGAGGTCCCCAGGACTCTTCTGTAATTAAATCCTGCTCAGGCTACAAAAACTTAGAGCCTCCCAGCTCTCTGGACTACCAGGGACACTCCCATTGGCTCCGGACTGTGACACAGGCACGTATTTACCTGCCTAGCTCCAGGTCAAGGCAGGGACCACACCTGCAGCCCGGCCCCGCAAGAGGCACAACCCAGAGGCTGCTTTCGGTTTCCCGAGGGTTTCCGGACCTGGAACTACAGCCTGCTCTGCAAGCCCCGCCCCGATTGGCTGCCGCCCGGTCCCATCGCGTCGCTCCGCCCTAACGCACCTAGGTTCCGCCCCTGGGCCCTACTGGGATTGGCCCTTGCGGCCCCGCCCAAGCTCGGATTGGTCCGCGGTGAGACCCGCCCGCCTACCCACGTGGCCAACGGGACAGCACAGGGGCAGCGTCCGGCCATGGCCGGGGCCCGCAGGCTGGAGCTGGCAGAGGCCCTGGCTCTGGGGCCTGGCTGGCGGCATGCGTGTCACGCTCTTCTCTATGCTCCAGACCCTGGGATGCTCTTCGGCCGCATCCCGCTGCGCTACGCCGTACTGGTGAGGAGGGGGCGCTCCCGGTCACTCCCCCCTCTGCCCTGCACCCTCCCTCGGGCGTTTCTCTGGGGCATCCCTGCCAGTACCCGCTTCCTCTTCCCGCAGATGCAGATGCGCTTCGATGGGCGCCTGGGTTTCCCCGGTGGCTTCGTGGACACGCAGGACAGCAGCCTGGAGGACGGGCTGAACCGCGAGTTGCGCGAGGAGCTGGGTGAGGCGGTGGCCGCCTTCCGCGTGGAACGTGCTGACTACCGCAGCTCGCACGCAGGGTCTGGGCCGCGCGTGGTGGCCCACTTCTATGCCAAGCGTCTGACGCTCGAGCAGCTGTTGGCAGTGGAGACTGGCGCAACACGAGCCAAGGACCATGGGCTGGAGGTGGGACCAGCCTGGGACCCTGTCCCATTCCTGATTTCCCCTCCCCCCAACGTTTTCCCTCCTCCTGGAAACCATCTTGGGAGGGAGGTCTTTGCTGCTCTGACCTTGCCTTCTTCCTCATTCTCTTGATTTAGTTACATCTTGGTCATCTCTAATTTGGATGGTACTGCCAAATGGGCTCCCTGCAAGATCTCTCTCCACCCTCCCTTTCCTGGGCTCTCCAGAGAGCTTTCTAGAATATACCCATCCTACTCTCTCTACTTATCCCTATTGATAATGTGATAATGGCCAGGCATCCACCCTTGTCCCTTATTGTTGGGCCTCTGTTTTCCTTAGGAAGATGTGGCCCTAATATTTAAGGCTAGGGGAGTAGGGAAACATTGTGTATGAAGGACGTTCTCAAATTTTGACAAGTGTCAGAATCATCTGGGGAGGATTTTTATAACAGTAGCTACTACCAAAACTGCTTGGGGAAGAGGGCGGAAACTGGGAATTTGCATTTTTCAAACGTTACAAAATCATGCTGATACAGGTAACCTAAATACCACATTTCGACAAGGAGTTCTATAGAGCTAGGTATGCATCCTTGAGGCAGGAGCCACTGAAGTTGAGCATTAAGCTGAATTCCTTATCTTTGGTCATTTGCCTGTACTGGGTCACACCCACTAGGCTTAATGAGGTGTGAGCCTTAGGCCTGGTTCTGCTTGACGTTAAAGGGTGAGTGGGGCCTCTGCTCTAAAATATCTGCTGAAGAGAGGATGGAGTTAATGGGATCAGCTACCTGTGGTCCCAGTGTGTCCTGTCTCCTTCCTTTTACAGGTGCTGGGCCTCGTTCGGGTACCACTGTATACCCTGCGGGATGGTGTGGGAGGCCTGCCCACCTTTCTGGAGAATTCCTTTATTGGTGCTGCCCGGGAGCAGCTACTGGAAGCCCTCCAGGATTTGGGACTGTTGGAATCTGGCTCAGTCTCAGGCCTTAAGATCCCAGCTCGTCACTAGAGGCAACCCTCCGTGGACCCATGGAACCTGAGATAAGGACCTTGGTACTAAAGAGGGAGGGAGGGAAAGGAGAATGTTTTCTCTTCTGGCCTGAGAAATGATAGATGATATCAGATTAAAATAAGGATCAGTGTGTGTGGTATGTTTTGAGCAGCAGACCCTCCAACTGAGGGCATCAGGGGCAAAAATCCACAGGTCCAGGGGCTCTTGCAGATTTTCATAGCCTGCCTCCTTTCTGTATGTTTTCACACACAGTGACACCTTTCCCCCATCAGGTCCAGTTTGTCCGGGAAGTAGCATTTGTCACCATACCCTGCTCCTTGATGGCAAGGATCTTCCAAAGCAATAGCAAGTCTCTTCCCACATTCTTCTGTGGCTGCTCTCCAAGTTCTAGCCCAGTGCGTGTTTGCTGGGGAAGATAGAAAAGCAGAGGACCCTCTTTGCTTTTTGAAAGTAGTCATACCCTTGCCTGAGGGTTGACCAAAGCAATTAGCTTCTAAAAGGTGGGAGAGGGTCTCAGCCAATCCCCAATCCTTTTCTTCCCTGAAACTGAGGAGAAGGAGTGATGAAGTAGCTACGTGTCCTCGGACTTAGCATGGACCTGAGACCTACAAGTCCTGGTGCCTCTCCTCCAGAGCTTTCATCTTGGGACCCCTTAGACTCTGGGGACATCAGAAGCGAACTGACCCAGCCCCTGTCTAACACTGTTGTGCCAGAAAGAGCCTTCCACTATAGAGACTTATAGCTTGGCCTTCAGGTTCTTCACTTCTTTCAGCAGGTATCTTTTTTGTACCTATTAAATGCCAGGTTGTATAAAAGATACAGAGAGTCATAGGCCTTGCTTTCCAAGACTCCAGAGCAGGGGTGAGCAAACATTTTTTAAAAGGGCCAGGATGTAAACATTTTGGGCTTTGTGGACCACATGGGTTTGGTTTTTTTTTGTTTTTTTTTTTGTTTTTTTGGCAACTAATAACTCTGCCGTATCAAGAGTACACAGACAATTCATAAACAAATGAATATGGCTGTGTTCCAGTAAAACATCATTTAAAAAAGCAGTTGGCCAGCCTCTGGCGCATAGTTGGCCAATGTCTGTTCTAGAAGGGAAGATAAGATTAATCATTTTAATTGTGATGCCTACTTACTCATTACTTAAGTGTTAAGAAGGAAATAAACAAGGAACTGATACAGTCTCACTTTGGTACTTTTAACTTTTAGATGAGTGGTCTAAGGGGCCCTCCTTGGGGAACATTTAAGCTGAAGGATGAGAAGGAACTAGCCAGGTAGGAGTGTGGGAAGAATATCCCAGAGAGAAGCATGTGTCAAGGCCCTGAGGTGGGTAGAATCTTAGCAAAACATCCCAAATCTTAGTGCTTCCAATAGCAAACATTTTATTGTATTTCAACATTTTACGGATCAGAAATTTGAATGAGGCCCAGCTGGGTAATTCTGTTCTACATGACTCTAATACAGATTGTTAGAAAAGGCCAGATGATATTGAACTGGTATATACGGGCTATCTGGAATGTACAAGAAAGCTCTAGTCACAGGACTGGCCCCTTGGTAGGGATGGCTGGAAGGCTGAACTCAAATGGGAACAGAGTTCCTATATTTCGCCTCAACAACATGGTTGTCTTGGTAGATGAATTTCCTACACAGTGACTCAAGGCTCCCAGAGAACTCCAGAAAATCAAGGTGGAAAGTACAAGGCTTTTGATCTGACCTCAAAAATTGTGCTTTTGCCCTACTCTCTTGGTCAAGGAAGTCATCTGAGGCCACCCAAGATTTAAGGGTAAGGAACTTAGACTCCATTTCTTGATGAGGCATGAGGAGTGGTGCAGAAGACTAGCAAAGAATTGGTAGCCAACTTCAACCTAGAGGGGCATGTTGTAGAAATGGGAAAAAGCCAGTGTGATTAGACTACAGCAGGCCAGGGGAGATATAGCTGGAGAGGTAGGCGGGAGCGCAGTGCGACAGGGCCTTATAGACCATGTGAGGGGCCTGGTCTATGTTTCAAGGCAGTCAATCCCAGTGTTGTGTGGAACATGGACTGGAGGGGCTAGGAAAGTAAGGAGGAGACGGTAGCTCACATGGGAGATGGTGATGATCTGGGCTGGGATGGGGGAGGAGGCAGTGGAGATGGGCAGAGAGGATGTGTTTGAGAGACACTCTGCTGATGGCAGTGACAGGAGCTGCTGATGGACTTGTTGCAGGAGGACGGAAGTGAGAAAGAAAGAGGATTAAAGGATGACTTGTAGGTTTTGTGTGAATGTACAAGTTGTAGATGAAGGGATAGGCTGAGGGGTGGGTGAAAAAGTGTTTGAAGAAAACAGGATCAAGGTAGCCATTTGGGGCATGTTGAGACATAAATTTGTGAGTCATCTGCATAAAGACAGTCTGAAAACTTTGTTGCACTGGATGAGGTGGTCCATGGAGAGGGAAAAAGAAGAGGGCTAAGGAGAAGCCCCTTGGAAGTCTGCCCTTAAGCTCTGGGTGGAGGAGGAGGGCATGTAGAAGGAGACCAAGAGGAGAGAAGATGCTGTTTAAGAAAGTAGACTATGCAGAGTGCTGCTGAGGGTGTCAATAAAATAAGGAAAGAACTATCCATTGGATTTAGAAGCATGAGGTGTTTGATGACCTTGATGGGAGCAATTTGAGGAAGGGGTGGGTGTCAAGGCAAACTGGAATGGGTTGAGCAAATGGAAAGTGGGGGAGTGGGCAGCGTGAGAAATTGGTTGTCAAGGGGCATAGAGTGATAACTAGAGAGGGCTGTGGGGTCAAGGGTGTGTTCGAGGTGGAGGATAGAGCACATGGGTGTTGATGGCAACAGTCCAGATGGCAAGTGGGGAGAGCTGGCGGTGGGGTGGGGAGAGGGATTCTTCAGGGGCACAGTCCATGAGAAAGGAGTGGTGGGACATCTGCAAGGAGGAGAGACAGCCCTGCAGCATAACGGGCTCCAGAAAAAAAGGATGGGGCAAGTACAGAGAATTAGGATGGTTAAATGAATGGTGGGATGGTAACAGAGTTTGAATGTCTGCTTGGTGAAATGAAGCGAGAACATCAGCTGTATGTGGGTGGAGGATGTTCTTGGAAGGTATGAAGTAAACATTCACCTTGGTATGGAAAAGCAAGTTGATTAACGAAACATAGCAGAATGGCAGGGCAAGGCTGAGCTATGAGATGATCAGTTTAGGGTAATGTATACTCAGTGGTGTGTGTGCATTTGAGGGGGTTGTGTACTCACCTGTCTTCCCCTCACGGGAGTTTAGTTGCTGGAGTGGAGAGACGCAGATCTGGGTTTTGCTGGAGCAGTACAAAAAAGGCAGACAGATGCCAGGGAGTTAAAACGACATGCACAGGAGAAATTGTGGTGATACAATGCAGAGTCTAAAGTTTAATGTGGCTGAGATGGGAAAAGAAGATAGGAGCTGACATTGGAAAGATCTTAATGGGTAGAAACTCCAACATGGTGAAGAGTTGGGTGGGGAGGTGCATTTGAGCCACAGAGGAGTGGTTTGCAAATTGAGAGGTGGAGCAATCTCAAGTAGAGGCAGAGCCTGCGGTCCTACCTGGGATGGCTGGGCAGAGCTAGGAGATTAGACATAAAATGATGGAATTCAGGGATAGTGAGGCCAGAGGTAAGGAAGACCATCCAGTAGGTGACGAGGGAAGAAACCCAGAGATGTTGGGAGGATAGTGTGACCTAGGAGCCAGCATCCTTGGTGAGCAAGAGGAGAGACCAATGGCAGCTCCCAGGAGGAGAAAATGCCGATGATAGGACGGCAGCTCCCAGGAGAGGGGCTTTTGAGGAAGGGAGGGTGGGTGGTGTTTTGGAAGCTCAATGCAGAGCCATGAGGGCCCCACTGGCAGTTCTTGGCCTTTGAAGAATGAGGGTGGGTGGCGGAAGAGTAGCTGTGGAGATCACATAGATCTGAGAGGGCTGATTACTCTGCCTTTTTCTCCTAGCCTAACCCTGTCCCCTTTGTCAAACATTATCTAGAATAAACTCTCAGAGTAGGCAGGTTGGTGGTAATGGACATTGGAGTGGCTCCCCGGGGCCCAGCCTGTCCCAGCTTCATCTGGGCCTTCTGCCATCTCTGAAGGGAGGCAGGACCCTGAGGCTGAGAGATCAGGGCAGCCACCCCTGACTACACCACTAACATACCCCTTACCTCAGGGTCCGGTCCTACCCAAAATCAGGATCCAGAACTCATCCTGGGATGTCATCTGGGCCAGCCGTGTGTACCATGTTAAATTCCCTTTTTTTTTTTTTAATATTCTGGAGATGGTTGATGTGGAGGAGTGCATGTATTTCCTGTGTCATCCCACAAATATACCCTCCAAGTCTGCAGATTACTTCTCAGCGAGCCAGCCTCAAAGCATTTTATTGTTGGGGGGTTTGGGGTTTGCGTTCATTTCTGTCACCTAGTCCCTGCAGTGCACAGGCAGGCAAGTGGGAGGTGATAGAAGCTCAGACTCTGCATTTCTCCTCCTCTTACCGATTCTGTCCCTCCTGAGGTTTGAGTAAAGCCAGGGAAGGTGGCCACTTAAGCTTTCCTTGGCCTTGATAAGTCCAGTCATCTGGGATGGAAAGAAGATGGAGGTTCTTTTCAATTCTGAACCCCCTATGAACTGCTGTGCTGAATTTCAGCCAAGCGCTTGACCTCCTTTTCCTTATCTGGTTGATGAGCTGTGATTCCTGTGGTGAGGGTCAAATGAGGCAGCACTTGGGGTAGGCTTGGAGAGATGCCCCCAGCACGATTTAAGTATAGGATGCCATGTTTGCTTCCTGCTTCTTAGCACATTTGTTTTGTGGATTGCTAGTGGCCCCTGCTACCTCTCCCCATATACATATTTCTCTCTTTCAGAGTAATCAGGAAGATGTTTCCACTTCTCAACGTTACACTTTTCCCTCAAGTATTCCACTGCTGCTTCAGAGTAAACACTTTCAGGCTTCACGTTGTCCTAGCCAAGTACTCCTGAGTCACCCAGTTTCTGGCAAAGCTGCAGCTCCTCAGCTGGAACATTGAGGACAGAGTGTCTGCCTCCTTCCACACTTACTTGGGCCCAGTGAAACCGACAGCGGGCAAGGAAGAGGGGGACAAGGGAGGTTTTTATGATTTCAGTT